AATTGCCTGTTGGAGAGACAACTTAACACCGTGCCCACTGGATAAGACAACTTAACACCCACTGGCCGTCAATTATTGAGCTACAAAAGTCAACGGTGGCCTGACTTGATGTGTCGACTGGGGGGGGGGGGGGGGTATGAAGTCGCGACTTTACATACTTCCGGCTGTTCCCCTTTGATGACAATTTATAAATTTGCTGCAATGAGTTGAATCACCATCCCTGGTGTTGAGGGATGGTAGTTGAATCCATGTGGACATGGACGCTGTGATGTTGTTCAACAAAGAAAAACGTACTATAAATAAACCCATGTGTGTACATGTGCTTTTATCCATTTTCAATGCATAAACTCCCCTTTTCTGCTCATTAGCGAGGGCCACTGTATCTAAAAAATTATGCATGTTTGACAGTCCAAATTACATACTAATACCATACTGGACTGCATTTGTGCTTGACTGGGCATGGACGCTGACGCAGTCCAGTATGGTACACAAGATGAAACGGCATAGAATAGATTACATGCAAACGTTTTGCATAGTTGAGCTTTATTTAAGGGCAATTCAAATCACAGTCTTGAGACAGTCTGGAATAATTTTTTCAAAGATTTATTTTTATTTTTTATATTTTTAAAAATGTACTACTTTTTCTTTTTGCAAGTCCTTCAACACACCAATTATTAAGTGACCCAGCCCTTATGACCCATTCAAATACCCATATAAAGCAATTAACAAGTTCATGAACCTTGCTACATCCGGGGCATTATAGCCAGTTCAATTGACCACTTTGGACAGTAAATACTAGTCACTTGTCGCATTAGACAGGTGGCCGCTTTATACAGTGTCTTTTACATGTAAATTTGGTCAAGACTGTTCAATTGTGGTTTGACTGTACCTTCAATATTCCAATTCTAAATAATATTCGAATTGAAATTTTATGAATACATAATGCATTTGTAAAACCCTTACCTTGCGCAACTCTAATTTTCACATCCAAATGTACAGCTGTTGAAACTACTGATTTTGTGAGCACCAATATGTTCTCTAAACCAATTATAACCACAAGGTATGGGAATATTTCACTGTCAATTACAATAACACAACATATATGTACATAGATAATTATATATTAAATATTATTGAAACACATATAATGAGAATGCCAATAATAAGGGCAGACAAGGCCTTTGTTTCCCATATACTTTTCCTAAATCTATGTTCAAGAGAAATAACATTTTTCTCATAATTGCCATACATTACCTTAGTTCAAAAACCTGTCAACAATATCACAGCTGAAAAAAGATACTCACCCACCATTCAATGTAGGAGTAAGACCGCAAAAAGAACATATACCAATAGACATTGTCAGAGAGGCAATCACCATGGCCACAGCACTGAAAGCTAAACCCCATTTTGATTTCACCATCTCAATTTTACCTGCATGAGAAAATAAATAAATGAGCAATAAAGTAAATTAACATGTCATGATACCTTTGTGCAATACTAAAGAAAACTGAAATGATTCAGTCATTTTGAATGAGTACTCAAAACAAATGCATGTCAGTATGTGTGACACATTGCAATCAGTCACATAATGTCTGGAAGAGCACTACAAAATGTCTGTCAGTCGGCCATTGTGAACGAAAAAACAAAATGACATAGTTCATGAAGCTTGATTGAACCATGAATGAAAACGAGTACTGAAGGTATCAGGTTAGTTTGCAAATGTATAGACTGCGATGTGTGCTGCAATTATAAATTATTGTTACAATACTTATGTGCTCCCGCCATATTCATCCTTTGTATCATAGTTAGGTAATTATTTAAATAATTTACTGTATTTAAGTACATATTCAGGATACATTAAAAGTGTATGAGCCAAAATAATAAAATGTTGAAACACTCTTAAAACAAAAAACCTGTTAGCAAAGACCTGTATTGATTCAGACCACATGTGTAAGGAAGTTTATGAATAGTACATTGCACATGTGATTATATCTGCTCAGACATGCCTGAGAATTTATGACATGTTCAAAACTATTACAGTTTGAAAAGTTTCTGAATCTTTTAACAAAGTTGTGCAAGTGAAAATTTAATTTATATTTCTCATTATACTGTTGTCTATGTTAGACAATATCCAAATAGTGGTAGTAATTAGCTAGTGTTGACATAAACTAGAATATAGTGCAGATGAATCGTATATAGCAAATGTTCTGGAGTCTATTTTTCAGTAGTAAAGCATAGAAAGCAGAAGGAGGCAGCCATGGCAGTGTGATGTGTACAGCAACACAGAGTTGGTAGTGTTGTTAATTGAAGTTGAATGATCTGACATTTGAATGCACAAATCAACACTACAGTTAATTTGTTTGTCATGAACTTCAACAAAATTCTCCAAACAATCTGATTGACTCGAATGCTAGGAATCCTGAATGTACATCCCTTTAATATGTTAAAACAAACAAATAATTCTAGTATATTTGTTATTAAATTCATTGATCTATACAGGCCAACTATACCTCAACCATAACCACAAGTTTGATAGTGATCAGCTACATATTATTGGAGTTACAAATGTATCACGTCAACAAGGAAAGTTAACAACAATGACAATGGATGACAGACATTTGGCACTATTATGACTTTTTGTTCACTTCATTAGAGGCAAACCAAACATGTACATGTATTATAAAGAACAGGACTATATTATATTATACAATACTTACGAACTGAAAAATATATGTACATAAACAATATAGCATACATTATACATAACGGCGTAAGCTCTACAAATCCCGCTTCATTCTGAAAATAGAAAGTTATTACAGATGAAAGTTCAGACAGTTTTAATTTCTTTTCTTTTTTCATGTTAATGGCTGTTATGAATATGTCCAATTCAGTTGTGTTCCTTTACACCTGTAGTAACAGGAAAATCAAAGAAAGCTTAGAAAAAACTCTTTCGTGCTGAAGGTATTGGAAGTACAAGGAATACTGTATTTACTATATAAAAAGCACATATTATTCAATACACATGGGGCAAAAATCATCGGAATGTCTTATTATGACCATGTCTAATGTACCTTGTGTCATTAAAATCTGT